ACCATCCCCTTCACCATCTCACCATCTCACTATCCCCTTCCATATCACATCTCACCATCCCCTTCACCATCTCACCATCTCACCATCTCACCATCTCACTATCCCCTTCCATATCACATCTCACCATCCCCTTCACCATCTCACCATCTCACCATCTCACCATCTCACCATCTCACCATCTCACCATCTCACCATCTCACCATCTCACCATCTCACCATCTCACCATCTCACCATCTCACCATCTCACCATCTCACCATCTCACTATCCCCTTCCATATCACATCTCACCATCCCCTTCACCATCTCACCATCTCACCATCTCACCATCTCACCATCTCACCATCTCACTATCCCCTTCCATATCACATCTCACCATCCCCTTCACCATCTCACCATCTCACCATCTCACCATCTCACTATCCCCTTCCATATCACATCTCACCATCCCTTCCTTCACCATCTCACCATCTCCTTCACCATCTCACTATCCCTTCCTTTAGCATCTCACCATCCCTTCCTCTACCATCTCACCATCCCCTTCACCATCTCACCATCCCCTTCACCATCTCACCATCTCACCATCTCACCATCTCACCATCTCACCATCTCACTATCTCCTTCATCTCACCATCCCCTTCACCATCTCACCATCTCACCATCTCACTATCCCCTTCCATATCACATCTCACCATCCCCTTCACCATCTCACCATCTCACCATCTCACCATCTCACCATCTCACCATCTCACCATCTCACCATCTCACCATCTCACCATCTCACCATCTCACTATCTCCTTCATCTCACCATCCCCTCCACCATCTCACCATCCCTTCCTTTACCATCTCACCATCCCCTTCACCATCTCACCATCTCACCATCTCACCATCTCACCATCTCACCATCTCACCATCTCACCATCCCTTCCTTTACCATCTCACCATCCCTTCCTTTACCATCTCACCATCCCCTTCACCATCTCACCATCCCCTTCACCATCTCACCATCTCACCATCTCACCATCTCACTATCTCCTTCATCTCACCATCCCCTCCACCATCTCACCATCTCACCATCTCACCATCTCACCATCTCACCATCTCACCATCTCACCATCTCACCATCTCACCATCTCACCATCTCACCATCTCACCATCTCACCATCTCACCATCTCACCATCTCACCATCTCACCATCTCACCATCTCACCATCTCACTATCTCCTTCATCTCACCATCCCCTTCACCATCTCACCATCTCACCATCTCACTATCCCCTTCCATATCACATCTCACCATCCCCTTCACCATCTCACCATCTCACCATCTCACCATCTCACTATCCCCTTCCATATCACATCTCACCATCCCCTTCACCATCTCACCATCTCACCATCTCACCATCCCCTTCACCATCTCACCATCTCACCATCTCACCATCCCCTCCACCATCTCACCATCCCTTCCTTTACCATCTCACCATCCCCTTCACCATCTCACCATCTCACCATCCCCTTCACCATCCCCTCCACCATCTCACCATCTCACTATCCCCCTTCGCCATATTACCACCTCACCCTCACCATCTCACCATCTCACTATCTCACCATCCCCAGCACCATATCCCCATCCCTTTCACCATATCACTATCCCCTTCCATATCACATCTCACCATCCCTTTCACCATCTCATCATCCCAATTATTACATCTCACCATCCGCAACACCATCTCACTGTCCCCTCCACCGTCTCACCATCCCTTCCTTTACCATCTCACCATCCCCTCCACCATCTCACTATCTCCTTCATCATCTCACCATCCCCTCCACCATCTCACCATCCCCTTCACCCTCTCACTATCCCCTTCACCATCTCACCATCCTTTCCTACATCATTTCACCATCCCCTTCACCATCCCCTCCACCATCTCACCATCTCACTATCCCTTCACCATCTCACCATCCCCTTCACCATCTCACCATCCTCTTCACCATCTCACCATCTCACCATCCCCTTCACCATCTCAAGATCCCCTTCACCATCTCACCATCCCCTTCACCATCTCCTTCACCATCTCACCATCCTCTTCACCATCCCCTTCACCATCTCACCATCCTCTTCACCATCTCACCATCTCACCATCCCCTTCACCATCTCACCATCCCTTCCTCCACCATCTCACCATCCCCTTCACCATCTCACCATCCCTTCCTCTACCATCTCACCATCCCTTCCTCTACCATCTCACCATCCCTTCCTCTACCATCTCACCATCCCTTTCACCATCTCCTTCACCATCTCAACATCCCCTTCACCATCTCCTTCACCATCTCACCATCCCTTCCTCTACCATCTCACCATCCCTTCCTCTACCATCTCACCATCTCACCATCCCTTTCACCATCTCCTTCACCATCTCAACATCCCCTTCACCATCCCCTTCACCATCTCAACATCCCCTTCACCATCTCACCATCCCTTCCTCTACCATCTCACCATCCCTTCCTCTACCATCTCACCATCCCTTCCTCTACCATCTCACCATCTCACCATCCCTTTCACCATCTCCTTCACCATCTCAACATCCCCTTCACCATCTCCTTCACCATCTCACCATCCTCTTCACCATCCCCTTCACCATCTCACCATCCTCTTCACCATCTCACCATCTCACCATCCCTTCCTTTAGCATCTCACCATCTCCTTCACCATCTCACCATCCCCTTCACATCTCACCATCCCCTTCACCATCTCACCATCCCCTTCACCATCCCCTTCACCATCCTCTTCACCATCTCACCATCTCACCATCCCTTCCTCCACCTCGCTCTGGGCAGCTTCATCTCGTGACTGGCAGCAATATTGACACGCAAATTACTCCCTTAATTATTATGTTAATAAGGTTCACACCATTTTCCTGCCATTAGGCCGTCGGCGGGTCTGTCGTCTTCGCCTATAAGCTGGTTGGAGGGGGGAGGGGGGGATGGAGGAGGAGGAAGGAGGAGGGAGGAGGAAGGAGGGGAGGAGGAGGGGGAGGGAGGAAGAGGGGGGAGAGAGGTGAAGGGGAGGAGGAGGAGGAGGAGAAGGGAGGGGGGGGGAGGAAGAGGGAGGAGGAGGAAGGGAAGAGGGATAGGGAGGAAGAAGGGTTAGTGGAGGAGGAGGAATAAAGGAGGAAGAGGGGTAGGGGGTGGGTGACGAGGAGGAGGAAGAGGAAGAGGGGTTGAGGAAGGGAGGAGGTGAGAGGGAGAATAAGAATAGGGGAGGAAGTGGAAACGATAGATAAAGAACGATAGAAGAGAGAAAGGGAGAGAAGGAGAAGGAATAAGTGGCAAGGAGGGGGAGGGGGGAACGGGGGAGGGGGTAAACGAAAAGAGATAAAGGGAAGAGGTTAAGGTAAGAGAATGGGTAAGGAATATAGGGGAAGGAATGGGGTGGATGAGAAGGGGGGGGGGAGAGGAAGGAAGGGGGAAGGAGGGAGGTTGAGAGGGGAAGGAGATAAGGAATAGGGAGATGGGGAGGGAAGAAAGGGTAGTGGAGGAAGGGGGAGGGGGAGGAGGGGGAGGGAAGGAGGGGAGGGGAGAAGGAGAGGAAAAGAAGGCGAGATGGAATTGGAAATGAGAATGGAAATGAGGAAGAGAGAAAGAGAGAGACAGAGAGAGAGGGGGGGGGAGACAGAGAGAAAGAGAGAGAGAGAGAGAGAGAGAGAGAGAGAGAGAGAGAGAGAGAGAGAGAAAAGAGAAGAAAGAGAGAAAAGAGAAAGAGAGAGAGAGAGAGAGAGAGAGAGAGAGAGAGAGAGAGAGAGAGAGAGAGAGAGAGAGAGAGAGAGAGAGAGAGAAAGAGAAGAGAGAAAGAGAGAAAAAGAGAAAGAGAGAGAGAGAGAGAGAGAGAGAGAGAGAGAGAGAGAGAGAGAGAGAGAGAGAGAGTGAGAAAGTGAGAAATAAAGAAGAGATTAGAAAAGTGAAAATGAACGTAGAAAAATAGGAAAAAAAAAACAAAGATTAACAAAGAGGAAAAGCGAAACAAAATAAGTTAAATAAGTGAAGGAATAAAGCGAGGAAGTAAAAATAAAGAGATAGAAGAACAGATAAGAAACAGTAAACGAACGAATAGGAAATAATAAATAACACAAATATGTAAATCTGCAAAATTGGAAAACGGAATAGATAATAAAGCAATAATGGAAAGAAAAAAAATAATGATAACGAACATAGATATGCTAAATAAACGTTAAAAGTAATTATTTGGAAATAGGGATAGAAGAGAAGGGTGTAAAAGAAAGAAAAATGATAAAGAATAATAAAGATATACAAGGCAATAAAGAGTGATGTAAATGATGAAAATGAATAGAAAAATATTGTGAAAGGTGAAGTAATGGAATGAATATAAATAGGTTTACTTAACCACGCTTAATATGCAAAATGTTTAGGCAAACATATGATTAATATATATATATATATATATATAGATCGATCGACAGATAGATAGATAGATAGATAGATAGGTAGATAGATACTACAGTATATACGATACAGTACATTTCGTTTTCCTTTTTTTAATTTCCAATACTAATGATAATCTTTTCTCTCTCCCTCCCCCCCCCCCCATAACGCCTTCCCTTAACCCTTGCCTAACCCTACATCCTCGTTACGATCTAACCACATTTACCCTCACCTCCTCTCACACCCCAAACCCCTCCCCTCCCTCCCCCTATCACCCCCAACCCCTCCCCTCA